TTTCGTCATCTTTTGTCCGATTCAATAGCAAGGATTGGTCAATGAGTGGACCGAGGTACCATGGCTTGGCGAACAGTTTGTCGGTCGCAGCCAGACGTTCACAACGCGGCATCCACGTGTGCACTGTTATCCAGGCCTGTGATGCCAACCACAGCAGCCATATCCATGCCATCTCAGTGCCTAGATATTCTTTTAAGAAGTACACTGAAAATATACATAATAAATGTTTTATGACATTACTAAAATGCTCTTATTTAAAGTATACTTTAATTGATATCCTTTGTAATATCTTTTTGTTTTAAACGTGATATGAACAAGAATATAATGTAAATCTGTCAGCAGTTTGGTGGTTGACTATCTGCTGTTTGGTAGATGAGGCTAGATAACCAGCGGAAATTTCTGGCGTGAGATATTTTTATCTAACGGTCATCTTTTTTACATATATAAATAAGTATATTGTATGTTAAGCTTAAAGACTTGTACAAGCATGAACATTTTTATACTTTCTGTCGACACTTATTTTATAGTTAGGGTGGATTTTCATTATCTTCCAATCGAATAGAATTAAAAAAAGAAACATGCAATTTGAGTAGATTTCATTCTCCTTTGCTGTATATATTTTAAGATATTATTGTGTTAGATATATTTGAAATATGCGTTGCTAACCTGGTGGTATTTCAAAAAACAAATAATCAGGTATCGTGCCATGAAACGCGCAAGGATCCGCGTTTCTCATCGCGCAGAATACGATCAAAAGATTGACTAGAACCGGTCCGACGAGACTCAATGCGAATGTAAAGCTGACATTTTGTATGAGGATTTTGCAGGCGAATTTTGCGCTCGCATAACAGAAATATGCCGCTGCCACTTGTATCAGTGCTATCCAAAGAGGCGACGTCCAAGTAATAGGCAAGATGAATGCTGCCTTCGACAAATCGAATTCCAAGTTACCGTCGTATGCATCTTCGAATATTACCCTGAGCTAAAACAATACATCATAATAATTCTAGCAACTATGATTCAATTTTCTTATTTTTAGCCAGTGATTTCTATTTCAACGGTGATATTAAAACTGTTCAAGGTCATCATAGACTATCATGTATAACCTTCTTCTTTAAAAAGAGCGGGAAAGGCAGAACGATACATTACTAAATGTTATTATGTAATATTAATTAAATTAGAAATGATAAATTTCGGTGTCTAAAGTTAAACTTCATGTTCAAAATAAAATTAATTCAATTGCCTGACAAAATTTTATATTTAGCTAAATTAAGTTTGTGCAAACTATATACATAGTTGGATCAATAAGGGGGTTTTTTACTTTATCAACTAAATTATTATGCTATCAAGTTTACTAACCTCGTAAACGCTGTAGTTGCGCGGTGCGAAAGCATCGCCGATAGATGAAAAGATGGCGAAAGGATTGTCGTTTTGAACGTGCAGTGAAATTATAATGCACACCATAAAGACGAAAATCTTCCACAAAGATAGAATTCTCTGAGTATAATATCTTGTTTTCTTCAGTGCCAGTTTTAATTCGCACAAGTAGTAGAATATTACTAAAAAATAAAAATACAATAAGATACATACTGTTTTCACGATATTAGGTTAACATATAATATATGATACAATGCAATGTATTAAAATATTTTCTCTCTCTCATTCTCTCTCCCTTTCTTTTTTTCCAAGAAAATAAGAAGGACCACAATATGTTTTGATACAAGTGGTTCGACAGTTGAAACTCAAACTTAGAATTAATACGTACAGGATGTTCTGTTTTCTGTTAAGTCCACATAATTTTCCCACCATCCCAACGAGATACAAATACAAGCGGCCGGTATAGCCCATAAAGCTGGTGTACCATCTAAAAGTGGCCAAACGACGAATGCAGTTGCTTGTGCGGAGATCGCAAATACATCCAAAATAAGTTTCATTAAATATCGACTTTCGGTACTATCTCTCGTTAATGCGTTAAGTAATCCAGGTACGAAGCACAGGGAATTTAACAACATAGCTCCTTTAACGACGTCCAGTTCAGGCAGGATAATGAGGATTAATATAGCAACACCAGCTGCGTGTAACGTCTCAATAAGGAATGCCTAGAAAAAGAAGTTATGATTAGCTAGTTTTTTTAAAGGCATCACATAGAACATATTTTAGTTAACTGTTTCACTTGTGAAATATGTATTTCGGTTGTGGACAACCACAGTGTCATCAACTCTATAATGAATTTCTTAATAAGAAATTCATTATAGAGTCTTTGATTCATGCTTACTATAATAAACTGCAATCTGCTTGGTTTTCTTGCGGTTTTGAAAAAACAAATTCGCACGGATCTAACAAACATTCCCAATTCTGGTACACCGAACACAATCAATACAGCCCATAGCCATGTTACTCGCTCTTCCAGTGGAAGAACTGCTAAGAATTGTTTGTCCAGAGCTAAAAGACATACAAGAAATTAAAAACAATTCATTAGAATTTTACAATATGTAATATTCAAACTTTTATGAGACATAATCATAAACTTATTAAAAACGGCTACACTCGACGTATACGTATACGTAGTCGGGGATATGTGAATGTAATCGTCTTTATGTACTTCTCTTCTATAAATTACAATGAAACACTACCAAGTTTATTACCTAAGGCTTTGTTGCAATGGCTAACATGGCGATCTTTTTTAAGTTGCGAAATTATAAATAACAAAGTTCCTTTCGCTATGACCGCGGATCCCAATACAGCCGCGAAGGTAAAAATATACGCCAGGACCTTGAACACCTTCATACTTATATCGATCCATTCTGTCGACGCCATCGACCCACTCTCCTTCTTTACAGGGATCTCTCGAAATAGATTCCATCCTTTAGTTTCTTGTGCTGTTCTTTGACTGTAAAAAAATATATGTAAGAAAAGATAATGCGAATCGGAATTTTGTCTTATACCCACATTCGGGCGCTTTTTCATAGTGCGTTAAAAAGCGTTCAAATAAAACAAATGCATTTCCAAATATCAAATCATACGATAGCGTTTTTAGAACGCAACGCTTTTTATCGAGAAATGTTGCATTTTGAGCATTGGGCCAACAGAAAAAGAGTAATTTTAAAGCGTTCATCGCTCGTGAGCCGCCTATACCGTGTTTTAACGGAGCGCTAAAAAAGTGAATGAGCGAAACTGTTCGAAGCCACCCCAGATAAGAACTATATAAGCAGTAAAAGTTAGGAAAAACGCGACTAAAAGGGGCAGGTTAAAAATTGATGCATATTAAAATAAAATAAAAATTTGCAATTGTTTTCCGCGATAACCATAATTTCAATTGAAAAGGCTATATTGATATTTAATCAGATAATCAATATAAATAAATCAAATCTCTGTAACTGTAATATAACGTTAATCTATAAGATCTAAGTGATAACTGCAATTAATACGAGTAGCTATTATCAGCATGTTGTTTTTGCAAGAGAATTGATTCCTCAAGCAGACATGAGGTAAATTTTTAAATATACGTATGATCGAAAATTATAAGTGTAATTTGTTGCTTAAATCCCTTCATTATTGTTTATTCATAAATAACTAAAATAAAGAAGATCTACATAAAAACTGATAGTAGAAACTATCATTTGTCTATCGAGTTTTCTACGCCCAGAGGGCAAAGATTGCATTTCGTTTAAAATATTTATTTTAAGATATGCTTAATTTTAAATTTTAAAATATATTTTAATTTCATTTTGAACATATTTTAGACAAATGAACGTACTCTAATTCATCGGTATCGTCGTAAAGAGGCTGAAATTCTGAGTCCGACTGGTCGCTGTCATCTGGCAGGTCCTTGAACCCTGGAGTTGTTGCCATTACCTAATATTCTGAAATAAACAACAGAATTCTTATACTACGAGTATATTAAATATGTTCTTGTATCATAATGGATATTTTCTTATTAATTCTTCATGGGTAAAGGTCACATTACAAACTCTACGACAAAGTGAATGCGTTAAATATTTAAAAAAAACTCAAAGGTTTTGCATAAGTATTGTTAAATCATAAGGAAAAATCTTTTAATCGACTATAAGTAGATTCAAGAAAGCTTTTCTTATCAATTTCAGAGATACAATATTGCAAAATATAACAACGTTGACTTGATACACGTAAACAATTTATCATTTGAACAAGTCGAAGCAATTAATAAACTACATTAACAAGAACTTAATAGCGTCCGTTTTAAAGAAGGTGGAATATTATAAGAAATCTATATGAACTATTACTATACCTACTTATAAAAAGGAATAAAATCGCTTACCAACTTCGAATTAGAAATAAATAAAATCATAAGAATTATTATCTGGAGTTTTCAAAACAATAGGCAATAAAAATATAAAAAAAATACTGGTACCAAAAAAAAATTACGTACGAAAGAGGCTGACCTGTATCTTTTACAAAATTACACTTCACGACACTTAATTTGCGAGAAAACTCATCACTTACAAGGATTAAAGTTTTAGAACATCGCAAAAACAACCGAGTTTGTTGTTCAATCAATACTAATTATAAGAATGTGCGATTACTAGAAAAGTACTTTTATCATTCAAACTTCATTTTATTATCTCATGTTGATTAATATTTATCTATTAACAATAAGGAATCTAATTGGTGAGCGATCGAATAAAACGACATTGAAACAATAGCCATTATCACCGTTGGGTTAATCACACCCTCTCGATATTCCACGTAGATAATTCAATGACTCAATACAAAAAACATTTTAATAAAGTATCCAATTGAAGGCATAAAAACAATGACACTATGGCAGAGGATGGATGTTCCTCGTTTAATGAAAAAAAATAAAAGTAATGTATTTCAATGAATAAGAAGAGTATCAGGCTTTAAAAAGGTAGGATGAGAAGAATTAAAAGTTTAAATTGAATTAATTTTTATTACTTATTGCCAAACAGTTTCTTGGTAAATACATTTTCTAAATCACAAATGTCATCTCAATTAGAAATTAATTATATCGCAGAAATGGGATGAATTACTGTAAACTTATGGTTTAAAATAGCAATAAAATTTATGTAGAATAATTTATTTATTATTAATAAGCATACATTTAAAATAATACTATTAGTATAAAAAATAATTTCCATGTATAAACAAGCAGTTGAGGGTCGATCGTAATCATTTATTTATTTAGGGTTGACAAACACGTACTGTCGCATGGTCGGTAACTGCTGATCTCCTATTTAAAATCACTTGAAACTGACGAAGGACTATTTGAAGTAGTCCGTGTATGTCGGCCCTAAAGTATTTATCCCGAATAGAATATTAGATCGACGTACGCCACAAAAGATAAAAGAGAGCAGAGCATTCCTTATACATACAATATAAAACAGAGCATTCGAAAAAAAATTGACATACGATTGTAAAAATTAACTGTATAAAATATTTTTCAGATTTGTATAAAAATTAAATTATTTTTTTTTATAATTATACACCACTTACAAAGTTTAACCTAAAACTAATTCATAACCTATAATACTACGATTAATACAAAATCAACTCGACCAATCGCGAATATCTTAATAAGTTAAATTATCAGTCTAAATGTCCAGATCAGATAAATGCAGATTTTTTTAATATTACGGTATCAATGAGTTATTCTAATTTTCATTGTCATTCGAAGAGTTTTTAGATGTGCTATAATCTTGCCCTTTAGTGTAATCCATAACGTCGTCCATCTTGGAATAATTTCCCATCGCTACCTGCGCAATGGTGTCTACTATACTAGATGTATTTGGATAAGAATGACTGGATTGTGAAGCAGACGAAGTTTCTTCTTCCGTCAATTTCAATGGCTGATTATAATCAGACATGTAATCCTGCATTGTAGTCTTTTTAGTCAACTCTAACATTTGATTCAAAAATGATTCTCCACCAACACGTGACGGCATACTAAAATCAGTTGCTGTATCCGATGTTAAAGCGATAGGCTTAGAAGGATCAGCTTTCGACGAACTCTCAGTATGTTTTCCTGTATCCAACGAACTTTCCATTTTACCTTTTCCAATACTACCAAAATCTGGAGGTAAATAATCCTTGCTGCTTTTTAATAGGTCATGCGGAGATTTCATTAATACATTCTGATCTAAACCAACTTTTGAAGAAATGGGACTACTATTAGCAAGAGGTTTTAAAAGAGACTCCTGCATTTTTAACAAAGATGGCGTCAGAAACATATTATTTGCGGCTAAAGTTGACTTTGACATCGGATCTGGTATTCCTAGTATACCGGCACTGGAATACTTGCTTGCCGAAAATAAGGCATTGGCAATATCTGCGGAACTCATCATAAGGCTAGAAGCAATACTAGCTGGAATGGGTGCCGTCGAAGTGGTATTACTCGTTGAAGTACTTGTAGAAGTTTTCTCGTAGGCTGCCATACTTGTTAAATTTTGTAATGACGCAGCATAAGATGGTGGATCCGATAACTTGGTATTGGAGAGACTCGCTGCTAAGTTTGATGAAAGTCCGGGTGTAAGTCCTGTTAGCATACTATTCGCTGCGGCTAAGCTTTCTAAACTACCGGTTCCTAAAGGTAGGGGCATATTTGCTGACCCTAATCCTAAAGCCATGCTCGTCAACATATCTAAGCCAGTAGGGTACGCAGATGACATTGAAGACGTGCTCGATTTTGATGATTTCGACGATGTCGGTAATACAGGAATGTTTAACTGAGGAGTTTCAAACTTATGAGGAGATATAGAACCTATGCCAGACGACACGTTGATGGGAGGAACACCGGCCGGCCGGCTGACCATTTGCTGGAGAGTACTAACTGAAGGGAAATTAGGCATTGATGTGGATTGCGTAGTTTTAGGCGGCGGGATCGGTTGGGGTACAGCTAAAAGTGCGTCTAAATCTATTTTCTCATCTTGTTCCGATGAACAACCCAACTCATCACGAATGAAATGCCATAACAAGCCATCACTTTGCTCTCGGGGAAATTTCGGTGTCAAAGTAGACTTCAATTTATCCAAATATGTTATATCGGGTTTGTAATTATCTTTAAACTTAATGAATGTTTCATCTGCATAATTAAAGTAATACTTGATTGTTTTTTTAATCTGTTCCATTGCATGTGGCGACAAGTGAGTGTCGTGAACCATGTTGTATTGGAGAAAGAGGGGCCGAGGATATTCTGTGGGTCTCTGCTCTGGTGGCGGCATTACCCAAAAGAATGTTAACGACGATTCTAAAACTGGACTTTCCGGATTATAAGGTGCTGTAAAAAAAACAACCATAAGATGAAAAACAACTCAATTAATTTTAAAAATTCTTATGTTGTTAGTTTACTTACAGCATATTACACCAATGCATGGTACATAAGATATTTCCGATGGACCCCTCATTTTAATCTGATATTCAAGTTGATTGTCACAATCTCTAAGACTTGGCATTGCAGGATTTGTTGGATGAGAATGATACCACCCCAATAATGTCAGTCCGAGTCTCTCCATTTCCATTTGGATTTCAAGTTCAATCAAAACTTTAGGTCTTGGATCATTCTTACTTTTTAAGCAAGGAAATGTGTGAGTAATCATGACAGCTGAAAAAAAAGGAATTGATACAACTTCAATTACATTTAAATATTACAGCTTAACACTGTCGCCTGCGACTTTATCCATGGGGATTTAAAAGAAAACTTAATAAATAGCCTATGTGTTCTTCCTGTCTATTCTACATCTGTGCATCTTTCGTTAAGATTGGTTGAGCCATTCCGAAATTATATTCTAAATTCATCAATCTAAACTTTTATATAATATTTGTAAGAAGTAAGATAATAGATGATGTAAATTTATTAAATACATACTATGACTGTTCAAATCCCATGTTCCAGCTAAATAACCATGAACTTCTTCCTTTTTCAAATGACAATGAAGATCAAGGACTAGAGATGCATTGGAACTGACTGAGACTAAGAATGGCTGAACTTTACCGGCCGAGGAAAATGATACAGCTTCTATCAACATATTGGCATCACTGAAAAATAAAAGAAATTGTATTAATCAAGAATTAGTTGTATGTAAACATAATTATGAAGCCAAATTTATTACTGTTGCATCATCCTGTTTGGAACAGTGTTGTGTTTCATTACAATCCGTTGTGGAGGAGGTTCTGGAGGACTTTCAACTTCCATTTCATTTTCCTCTGTAAATAAAGAAAAATATAAACACTATTCTAATAATTCAAATTGACAGTATTTTTGTTGTTGCAGTGCAATATAAACAAGTGTACCATCGGAATGCACATTTTCTCTCTGAAGTTGCTTCCTACGAAGATATGTAGCTTTAATAGTATCCAATTTCTTCCCTTTATATTTAACTGATGCCCAGCCACATCCCGATCTCTTGTCTGGATTTATAATTCTTTTGCAATGTATTGCCCATGCAGAGGGAGAACAAAAAATGGTTTCAGTTTCATGGGATTTTATTTTTCCATCCGCCTGCAAATCACCTACAAATTTTTGTCCCTGGAAGTAAAACTTTGGTTCAATTGATTTAAAGATAAAAAATCAGTATATATGAATTTATTTAAGGTATTTACGTTAAACAAATAAAGCTGAATACACTACCAAATACTCAATAGTCATTGCAGCAATACCAGGAACTAACATTTTTTCCTCCATAAGCATTTGTAGAGTTACTCCTCTTCCGGGCATAGACTTATTGCCAGGCTGGGCTTCGGATTCCTGAGGATAAAAATAAAGTCACAAATTATTGTAACACTAACAATGTAGAAACATTGCAGTAAAATGTTACAACACATACCTCATCAGAAAATTCATCTCCTGTAACAGGCTCATCTTTCTCTTCTTCACAAGGCTCTTTGATTGTTTCACTTGGTTTTTCATTTTTGTTTTCGTCTTGTCCACTATTAGACCCGGTCGGTATTGTTTCTGGATTTGTAACATTGTTATTATATGTGCTAGTTGTGGACATTAAAGCCGCAGCCAAATGAGATGTTTGTACTTCCATAATAAAGTTTGATAAACAATTCAACTCTGTTTCATTTATGTATTAACATTTAGCATTAATTTTAGCTTAAAGCTACCACAAAACAATTTGTGACTTGATTAGGTTCAGTCCAAAGCAAGCTTTGAGCAAGCGTAAAGCTTTTTTCTGTTCTGAATCCTACTATTTTAATATTTGGTAATCGAAACGCGAATTCAGAGTTTTAAGAATTGTTGTTTGCATGGCAAAAATCAATAAATCGAACACGAAAAGATTATGATGATGAGATGAGACGTCGCGTCGTATGATGACAGAATAGATGACACTGGCAGCGACAGCTGACAGCTTTACACAATAACTTGGTGCACGAAGTGTTGCTATTACTACTTCGAAGAAATTCATAAACATCGATTTCAAAAATATTAAATTTGCGAATAGAACTTGATGGTATTTTCAGAGCTTATTTGTATTTTTGATGTATTTATAGCAAACCTGTTGTATTGAGGTGTTTTCAAAATTATAAGTCGTAGCCAATAATCCTAATACAGATAAAACGGTAAATAAAACACATCTTCCGCTGCGTGTAAAATTAATCTGTGCGGTGCTCCACAGGTGAAAAAAAAAGAGTCAATGTCAAAGGAAATTGATTGAAAATGACATTGACTAATTAAAAGAATGATATATAAAAAAATTGCCTAAAATCTCTAAAATTCTTAAATTGGTAGCAATTGGACATTGGGTTATCCGAAAAATAGTATTTTTCATTATTATTTCCATTACTAAGCTTACTTATGATATTGCTCTAATTTATATGGTCTTTCTCATTTATATGAAAAAAATTGGCAAAATTTAACAAGTTATTAACAATGGCTATTGTGAAAACACCGGTGCTCAAAGTTATTTTGTGTGGTGAATATGGTGTTGGAAAAAGCTCTATTTTCAGGCGTTTTATAAACAACACATTTTTACCAAGCTCAGACAGACGATCAACATTAGGATTAGATCATTTTGAGAAGCTCTATCAAGTCGCCGACAAGGACGTTAAAGTATGTTAAGATCCTAAAAAGTAATTTAAATAAAATACTGTGCCGATTCTTAGTATAACATATTTAATTTTAACATAAAATGTTAAAGAAATGGTAAAAAAATTTATGGAATAATTATTTACTTTTAAGATTAATTAATAACACAATGAGTAGCAATCAAACTTATAAAATAAATGAGCATTTTGATAGATACATTAAAATAAGGTCTAACTTTTAGTTACAGTTATGGGACACTGGTGGCATGGAGAGGATAGCATCTGTAACATCCAGTTACTATAAATTTGCTGAAGCTGCAATACTGGTGTTTTCATTAGATAATGCATCTTCATTCCATGTGCTAAGTCAACATTTGTTAGAAATAGTAACATATGCTGAAAATGCAAAAATATTTCTATGTGGAAATAAATCAGATTTGGAAGGTTCATCACCTCAAGTAACTGATGCAGATATAGAAAACTTTTGGTAAGTCTTATAAAAAGTGACCTATTATTTAACACCTTCATTGCCCACTAGCAAGTTCATTTTAATGCAAAAAAAAAGTCAGTGGCATGGAATGTGTTAATTTTAGAATATTCTTTCTTAATTCAACTTTATATTTCAGTGAACAGTGTCACAACCTTATCAGTACTACTTACAAAACATCATGTAAAACAGGCAAAGGATTGGAAGAAATGTTTTCTGACATTGCTCTACAACTAGTAGATTCAAATAGGTCCAGAATAGAGCTGCAGACATTAGACCATAACAGTTTTAAAATAACTCAACCTGAACCTCCAGAAGAACCCCATTGTAGTTGTTAAACCATAGACATTAGTCTACTTTTTTATGTATATAATTTACAAGTATCCAGTATTTTACAACTCTGATATTATGAAGTATTTACTGTCGTGTGTATTCCACGTGGCCTAATTGATTTATTATTAATAGTTTTATGAAATATTATGTATTTGTAATTTACATAAGAATTATTTTTGGAGTATGTGCATATTGGTAGATGATTTGCTAAAATAATTAATACTCAATAATTAGGCTTTTGCTAGAAATTTGCTCATAAGAATATTTGGATTTGTATACAATTTTATCATTGCCATTCTGAAAATTCAAATAATAATATGTAGCAAAATTTAATGTGTTTATAACATCATGTATGATGTAGTTTTTATATTATGAATATCAACAATTTAAAAATATACTTATGTATGCAAGCATATTTTTTTTAATTCATATAGTGAATGTATGCTGCCAGTGCTGCATTTGCTGATACAATTAATCCAAGTATTTCAACATGGACATATAAAAACTTATTTGCAAAAGATTTTTATTGCATAACAATTTATTTTTTAATCTATGAATTATTTTTTTTATTATTATGCTAAGATGTAATAGGATATTATTTCAAGTACCTGACAATCTGTTTATGTTGTAACGTACTGCTGATATTTTTTACAGTTTTTTTGTTAATATTTACTATAATAATTGGTATAAGTTTATGTAGAATTAATTACTTTACTAGTCAATATTGATTATATTGACAAGGTATAAATGTTCTAATATACAAAATAAGCAAAAATGTGACCTTATTACTGAAAAGTGTTTTTTTTTACATCCACAATGTTTGTAAATTTTACATACAAACACTTTTATTAATAGTACTGTTAATTTTATTAATATGTAAAATATATTCTAACATCTTTTTACTAATACATAAATATGTATATAGCAATTAAACAATACTAATAGTAATATCCTGTTTAGAAGGAATACTAATTAAACTCTAGCTTATTGTAGTATCACAGATCAGATACACACACACATGTTATTTGTAAAGTCAATGCTATTAAACAACTAGGATATCTGATCCGGTGGGCATATGTGAAGTTTTATTATGACAGCTCATTAGCGCCCTCCCCACTTGTGAATACTTTCACGAAATCCTTTTTCTACTGTAGCTGCCATTTCATGTTTTTTACATATTTTCACATAATTGCCTCTTACCGGCTTATATCCTTTATTGAATTTACAGTACTTCTTTGTTTACAGTTACTTCAATGGTTAGCTATTACTTAGTGAAGATTTCTTAAACTAAATGTCTATTAAAGTAACTGACCATTTTATGTCTGGCAGTATGTTCATAAATGTGTATAGTAGGGATGGTGCTGCCCAAACTCAAGACTCTTTTGCTATAGAGAATTTCTAAGAAGGAATAATTTAGATCTATTTTTCTTCATATCAACCTGATTGAAACATAATGTACTGAAATCTTTTTGAGAAACATTCTCTACAAGTATAGAATTTTAATTCTGAATCAAATTATAATTTTTAAATGCTCGCCAATGTGCTAAAACTTTACACCTTTCAAGATAGCCTCGACTAAAATGTCATTTTCCGCCTTAGTTTTTTGAACCTCTTTATCCAATTATAAAAACTTCACGACAAATAAAAAATGATGTTAAAAACACAATCCATTAATTTAGTTTTACACTTTACCTTTCTCTTGAATCTTTTTTTAATCCTTGAAATTATATGAAAAGAATAATGGAATGTTTAAAAAATTTCCATTCCAACGTTAAACATAATTTATGTTAATAATTTCAATGATTTGTTCATCGCTTAAAATACGAAAACACCTCATTGAATGATGGAAATTTATGCAAATGTTTTTATAGCAGTATTATTAATCTCATTTTTACGTCAATCGAAGCTCTCTTTTATTATTTGTAACAATGAGTTTATGTAATTTTATGCTGAAGTGCATTTTAATTTAATAAAGCTTTAAAATGTGTCATATTTGTTTTTTTATTTATCCGTTTAAATGCTGTAAGCTATTCGATACTACAATTTTCTTCCGTGTATAATTTTACTCCAAACATCCTTTTATTTTCTCATTTTTTTTTAGTAGCAGTTCTTGATGTAAGAAACCAGTGTTATGTTGATTCGTTTATGACCATTCACTTAAGAATGACGCAAGTTCTTTTAATTAAAGCGTTAGAATTTTGGTCAACAATATTTATTATTATTTTATTTATGTCTATCTGATATTGCAATAATATAGATAAGGTTTAAATGAGTACAAAAATGAATTTTAATAATTTATTATGTTTTTTTTTGTTATAATTAGCTTGTGATATATGATTTCACTTCAGCCTACATCTCTACAATACGTCACATACATTTCGTTTCATTGAATCAAAAGATTATTCGGATGTTTTAACCAACGTAACCTATCGTTTACTAAAGTTGTGCAAAAGGGGAAGTTAAATTGCAATTTAAATATCTATACTTTTCTAGATGGTCATTTAACTGGAATGCGCCAGAATTCTTTTGGCTGAAATATTGATTATCATTATAAATCTTATTAAACAATAACAAAGAGTTTATACTGTCTTTTGACATAAATATTATCTAAGCAATATGACATTTTTTAATCTATACACAAATAAAAAAAAATCAAGTTTAATTCAATTTTTAAACACATAAACAGATCTGCCGAAAATAAAACTTTCTACAAAGAAATAAACGTCGGTTTATACATATATATACATCTTGTAGACATGAGTTTAATGCTGTGACCACTTGATTGTTTTAATATCGACGCCCTCTTGCACCATTTCCCAGAGCGGGCTCATTTCTCGCAGCCGCTCCACGTGCCGTATCGTCTTCTCTGCCGTGTATTCCACTTCCTCTAAAGTTGTAAATCTGCCTAAACCAAACCTACCAACAAATACATATGTTATACATCAAACTAATATCATGGGATTCCGCTGTCTATGCTGTACTAGTTTTTTATAAATATATTTTATCATTATTATTATATATTTGATATAAACATATAAATGAATACGAAATATACTTATATCATGAATGCCAATGTTTGAATAGTTTGGTATATTCTGAAGAAATTTCTCATAGATTATAAAACATAACCTAGATGGACATATGCTACTATTTTTTTAATTCCGCGCAATAGGAATCATAAAACCTATTTATAGTGTTAGCATTGAATCTGAGTATCTTCTAGCTTATGTTTTACATATTAATGTTTTTGCCTTGCCATGATCAACTGGACGGGTTGGCCACAACAGATGTATGCTAATAATATAAAGGTAAATTGGTATACCTAATTGAGCTGTGTGCTAAGTCCTCGTCAGTGCCGATAGCCCTGAGCACATAAGAAGGCTCTAGAGACGCGGACGTGCATGCAGACCCGCTTGACAATGCAACGTCTTTTAATGCCATTAATAAGGATTCACCTGCAAAGATTATGTAGATTAAAAGTACATTATGTCACTAGTATATAAATGCAAATATATGGATGGATGGATGTTTGTTAGAAGGTGTCTCCAAAACGGTCTCATGAATCTTGATGATGGTATACATGTGAAACACAGTTTGGAAGAACCTTGAAATGTGTACGGTTCCGTGAGAATCATTTGATTTATACATTTACTTGATAACTTCATAACAGTTAAAAATTTATTTGGCAAAAATATAGAACAGTCTCAAGTAATACTTGAGATACTCTTTTTAATTCTGCGCAGACGAATTCACGGGTACAAACTAGTAACTTAATAAACATATTAATTTATTCAATAACATCATTTCTTTTTGTAAAATTCTTTTTAAAAGTAAACAATCTTATCAGTGAAATTACCAATTTAAATAAATAAAGCTACCCTGGGGACATTAATCACAATAATGATTGATAACAACCAATAATAAGTATGTGATGAATTATCTTTAAGTATATACATAACACAATCATGGTAACCTAATTACAGTTGGAACAAACAAATAAATATTTAACTGAGACTTTATACCCTTAGCTTAGTGATATTACACTAAACTGTGAAGTTCCGAGACCAAAATCATCATCATCATCAGCTCACCATACGTCCCCACCGAGGGGCTCGGAGCCTACCCTAAGTTAATGGTGATCAGGCCATAGTCAACCACGCTGGCCTAGTGCGGGTTGGTTGACTTCACAGATATCTTTGAATTTCTTCTCAGATATGTGCAGGTTGCATCACGATGTTTTCCTTCACCATAAGAACGTCGGGTAAATGTACATATGTAAATCGGAACTTGAAAAACACATTGGTACATGGCAGGATTCGAACCCAGGACCTGCAGATTGCAAGTCAAGTGCTTGACCCCTCAGCCACTGATGCTCTTTGACCAAAATTTAAAATGGAATTATTAACTAATAGCTGTTATTAAAATAAAAAAAGTAGTTTTTACCTTCAACATAAGCGAATGACAAGTTAACACATCCAGGATAAGTTTGTTCAGGGTCGCCATTTCTGATTACATGTGACAGTTTGGAATAAATCTTATCTAGAAACCTTTGTGACAATTTCTCCATCCAAGCATGGTCATATTTCATTTCTCCTTGTGCTAATTCACAAGCTGCACCTTTAGGATTAAAATAAATGTCTTATAAACAAAAAAACAGTAGCTTAACTATTTCAGATTCTAGCGGCCAGTATATAATCTTTCCATATTTCCTTTAATCCTTATAAAAGAAGCCACATAAACATTGAATGACACAGCAACTGCAGTTATCCTGCATGATACTAATCTTTTGATAGTTCTTATCACATATAAAACAAGATAGGGTGTTGCATAGTTAAATATGACTATAAGAGGAAAAATTAAGTGCAAGTAAAATTTATATTGCATATACTCTTATGGGACTTTTATTGATACACATTCTTATTTAAAACTTACCTAATCCTACTACCAAAGGTGTGGGTACAGTGCCACTTCTCATTCCTCTCTCTTGACCCCCTCCACTTTGTAAGGGTTCAACACGTACTCTGGGTCGCCGTCTGATGAATAATGCACCCACTCCTTTTGGACCATAGATTTTGTGACCAGATATTGACATAAGATCTATATTCATTTTGTTGACGTCAAGGGGTATTTTTCCAAGAGCCTGAGCTGCATCAGTATGAAAGAATACTTTTTTGCTTTTGCATATAGCTCCAATGTCAGCTATTGGCTGTTTTACACCTGAAAAAATTAACATCCTTACATAGGTCACATATTTTACCGAGTTACATAAAATAAGATCATTTTTAAAACCTTTTAATATACTCTGATAATATAACATGCAATCTTATTTTATATATGTACTTGTTAAAGTTGAGCAAATTATATTTTTACCTATTTCATTATTAACAGTCATTATAGATACAAGACTTGTTTCTGGTGTCAAGGCCTCTTCTAGTTGCTGTAGATTTATAATTCCATTTGGTCCGACTGGCAGATAAGTGATTTTGAAACCTTCACCTTCCAATGCCCGACATGAGTCAAGGACACATTTATGTTCCTACAAAAATAATTTTATGTGTTAAAACAAGGGTGTGATATGTTACTGTAACTCCTTTACTGTTTTATATGTTGCTTGAAGAATTTGCATACATTCATAGGTTTTATTGTTAGGATATTTTGTTACATGTTTTAAAGATAAATATAAGCTTTCTTCTTTGTATAAGAATAACTTGACCATATAAGTATTCGAACCATACTTACAATCTGTGTAGTAACAATGTGCTTCTTTCTTGGTGCATAAAAATGT